CCCCCCCCCCCCCCCCCCCCACACTCCTCACTCAAATCACGTGTTTGACGTTGAATCAACCGGAAATTTCGCCCGCAGGACACAATCTGCGAGTGCCCCTGGCTGGTCAAGGACGCGGAGACGAGGCAGATGGTGCTCGAGTGTGCCAGGCTCGCCACGCTTGTGCTCCTGGTGCAGAGCCCGCCAGGGTGAGAAAAAAAAATGCTCGCGCCGTCGTTGGTCTGTTTATTTTCTGGGTGCTGCTGGTGTGTCGGATTTTTGTAGCCGTTTCGCCATTGTGGCCGCAGTCCTTGCAAGCACCTTTCGTAAGAATTTGGTTAATCATGTGTTGCGGGTTTGTTATTTTTTCCGCGGGATACCGTAAAAGGGCCGAGTGATACCATCCCCCCTAGACTACGTTCCACAACCGACCGATGCGTGAAAGCAAAGCTCCAGAGGAGGCCTTTCCCCGACACCGCACCGTTTGGCCGCTGGCACCTCCTGTTTGTGGAGAAAATCGAGCTGTATGACACTCAGTCCCCCCTGGTGGTGTGTGTGACCACTCGCACTTTTACGGCAGGTCCGCACAGCAGTGCACGTAGAGGTCGCTGCTTTAGCAGGCTTCAAACTCGCCCACGCGTCCCACAACTGCTGAGTGTCTATGCTTTTTCCGGGGGAGTAAATCAACCGAATGCAGAAACATCACGTTCTCAACCCCTCGAAGTTGGAGTTGGGCGGCAATCATGGTTGCTGCTTTCCGACATGAGCCGAAGAGAGTGTGCTGACACACACATGCACTATCCAACGACAGGGGCACCCGGGCGCGGGCGTCCATGCTCACGTTACAGGAAATGGTAGCAATCGATCGCCAGATAAACCTCCATGTGTTTTGGCAAACGGCTCCATTGTTTGTCCTCTGGGCTAGACGTGTGTGTTGCACAAATCACGTTAAGAAGAGCACGAGCGACGTGTGGGGCTGCACATGAACTTGAAACCTACTGCGCGGCTGGCCACCGGCAGCTTGGCCAATTGCAATTTTCGTGGGCTCGTCTGCTGTTGGCCGGCTGTGTGTGTTCTCTAGCTGCAGCTCTATGTGTGGGCGCGCGCCCAGAGTGTGTCCCGGAAAGATGATACGAACAGGATGAGCAGAACAAGGGGAATGGTATGGAGTCCTACGTTTTTGTTGTGGCTGAAGCCTTCTTTGTTGTGTGCCTTTGCTTGGGTCGGCCTGTGACCTTCAAGGGCGCGGCAAAGGCAACTCTTGATAGAAAAATAGGAACGTTTTCGACATGGAGACGACGACAACGACATCATCAACAACAACAACACCTTTCTGCCCCCCCGCCCGCCCCCCCCCGGTGTTTGCCATCGGGGTTGGGTTTTCGTCGCTTGGCAACGACGTTGTAAAACAAGCCAATTCACTTCGTGAACTCGGCAACCAGGCTACCGTTTTTTTTTTTTAGTTTTACCTCCGTTTTTTGCGGTAACCATAATGGTGGTCGAGTAGATCATGTTGTGCGGGGT